TAGCTTCCAGGAGAGGAGCAGGGCCTGATGACGAGACTAGTTTCTAGTCAAGTTTTACAAGATTTTCTAAGTCACAGTATAAATTTACAGCGGAAACTTGAAATGCACGAATGCAGCTAAACATGGGTTTGGGTTTTTTCTTTATGACGAAATAACAATATCACTTGGTAAAAAACTCCAAGGCTGGATTTTCCATGATATGGCCCCATTAAAGGTGTTTAACACTGAAAACCCATTTTATAATGATTGAAACGTATTAAATGAGTATTGAATGAGATTGTCCTGAGGGTCGTGGGATTTTGTTGTTTAGTTGAGCTGGAAGCTGAAAACTTTGGGAACCACGGATTTAGACCAAACCAGTCTGCTCCGCCAGGTTGTTGCCTTTCTGATCCTTCAATCAGACTCGGGGTCAACTCAAAGACTCGTTTTTTACAACTATACAGTCAAAAACAAACTCTGTTTTTTACTCTCAGATGTTTTCTGTCCTCGTGCTTTTAAAGCACCATTAACCCTCAAGTGAAACGAATCCCAATGCACTCTCTGCTCGATCATCAATACACCCATTTTATTCCATATAAAACCGTTTTAATAGCTGCTGTAACGCAGCCGCCATCTGCCTGAGATTGACCCAAAGCTCCCTTGACTCCAAACTGCAGCTATAACCATGTTTGTGTTTTACAAATTGATTCCCCGTGTCATAAAGTCTACATTCAGACTGCGGGTTTGCGTTTGGATCGTCATTAAGAAGAGCACCGATGCTGCTGGAGGGGGTTGTGGGTCGTGGATAATGACCTACTTAATAAAACCTAATTTAAATGATGTCTAGTGCTTTTTATTTAGAGACAAGTGAAGGAGGTAGCTCAGTGGTACATCTGCTTCAGCTGGCCTTCTCCGTACCCCACACAGATTCTGAGACTGGTTTGCATATTCTTACCAGATTGTGTTGCCAGTCAAAAAGCTAATCTTACATCACTTACTTGAGAGGGCTGACAGAACGTGGGGTGGCTTGATGAGACCCAGCTTTGATGATCTGAAGAGAGTCATCTCTTCAAGTTTCCAAAGTCAGGTGGAGATGTGCTGATGCGTAAGTAACGGTGCGGGTGTTGGGGCGAAAGTTAAACACTGTCACTGCATTATTTAAGATTTCTTTCAACTCCTGCATATTTCTCCACTGGTAGAAAAGTTTTAAACCAAAATTACCAGTCACTCGATTCAATGGCACATTTTTAGCTGATTGATTACAGAACCAAAGTTCTCCTATAAGGCAGAGCTTTGAATCCACTTTGCGTGCTGCTGAGAGAATAAAGGTTGTTCCTCTAGCTTTCAGCATTCAGCCTGATACATCACAGCAGGATACCAAAGGCCACCTCATTTTTATTTCACTCTCCTAATTGCAGCTCGACTGCTACAGTCTGTTAGCACTCAGAGTGTAAACGACTCCCAGCATCTTCCACACACAACTTTTATTTTGCTAGTTGTGCGATTGAGTTTAGGGGTGGGCAGATTGACCCAAATATTGATACCAACATAAGTATTGGTTGATAATAGAGTTCCTTTTGTTCAAGTTCAGCCAGTTACCCATGCATTATGGTTTTTCTCTCAGAGTCTGTGTGACTGCAGCTTCCCTCCCGGCGTCCCGGCGTTCAAGCAACTCTCCTCTCACTCTGGTCCTCTTTGGCTCACTTTGCCCTGCCTCTTCCCCCTCCGCTCTGCAGGAGCACGAGCACACACAGCAGCTCCCGGCTGGCCAATGTCCTCGTGATGGCGGAAAGATTAAGAATCGCCTCTCCATGGTTGATAAAATAGCAAATATGGAGTTGATAATGGGTTGTTTTTAATTTGCCTAAAATGTGTGTTGTGTTTTATTATGGATACAACCATTCAATAATATTGTAATTCCAAATGAGAACTACTGGTACCAGCTGTACTGGCCTCTATTTACTTGGTATTGGACCAAAGATTTTACACAATTTGTTATGTCAACCAGCCTTTATTGAGTTATAGCTATTTTGTTTATGCCAGTAATGATTAGCTGTGGAAGTCATCTTTCTAATTTATTAAAATGTGGTTTGAGTTATTTAGCTAACAGAAAGACAGGGTAAACACCAACACTTAATAGCAAAGCTTCAAATAATAAAGAAGTGATGGTAGTGTGTGGTGATTGTGATTCTTAAAGGGATACTAGGCAGTTTTGCTTGCTTTTAGCACCCTCTATTGTCTGTTTGTAGAAGTGAAACTATCTCCTTGCTGTGCGTTTGTCTTTGTAACGCCTTAATCTAACAGCTGAAAAATCACCCAGCCTTCTTAAAGCTGCTTTCGGGAGTTTACTCCTTTCAGAAAGTATGTATGATTTGACAGAAATCCGTAAAAGTGGTTGTCTCATCATGTACAGTGATACAATGTAAGCAATAAGTTTTCTTATTTATTTATTTTTTGCTAAGCACACCCCCTCCCCGCAGGGCTCCGTGTAATAGGAAACTGAGCGCCGACCAGAACTAACCAATAGCGTTAGACTACCGCTTACGTGCTTCAAATTTAAGGAATAACTCAGTTGATGCAGATTTGATGAACTTGTCATGGACAAGTAAGTCTCTGATTTATAAATACATGAAAGCACAACATGACATGGGAAAAATACGTGCAAAACAGCGTGTTTTAGCTCTGTTTGTTGGCTACAGAAGCACATTTATTAACAGAAACGTGAAGTCGCCATCTTAAAAAACCGGAAGGAGTGTGATATGCTTGTCAGCCACTAGATGTTGCCATTGATAAGAGAAAAAAGCCGGAAAGAAGCTTTAAGTGTCTACAGTAGTGATTCATCACTAAATTAAACAAATCAGTTGTGTTCATGATCTGAAACATGCAGGAAACGTGCTGAAGCCACACAGCAGCGTCAGGTACCTCAGCACAATTTTCCTAAGTCCCAGCAGGCCGATGCAATATTTTGGCCACAGGGGGCAATAGGGACTGAGTGGCCTTTCATTAATCCAGTAAAGGGTCATTTTAGCACATACTGGCTCAAGAAAACTATTTAAAAGTATGAAAAAGTTTCAAATTGTCCCTTTAAACAGAAATCCATGTTTTTTTTAATCTGATGGCACCACGTAGAGGCAGAAAAAGGTATCACAACTTAAGCACATCTCCCTACTTCTGCATTGTAGGCCGAAAGCAACGCCTCTCCTTCATTAATGTGCACTTCTAGCCAGTTAATAGAGCTAAAACTAATAACTTTATTAATTTCATGGTGTGATTTATATATTTATTCCAGAACTCTTGAAGGTGCTGTATCGAATGCAGGCTATTTATCATTATGTCAGTAAAGTGTAATTCACTTTTACGGGTTTCTAAAACATCAAACAAAATTCCTGAAAGGGAGAAAACTCCGGATTGCTGCCTTAACTGCTAGCACAACAAGCTCAATAGAAGTAAAACTGACTGAATTATAGTGCTAGCTAAAATTCACTGTTGCTGTCATCTTGTATTGGTTGAAGGTGTTTCTGGTCACATGCTTTGTTTAACAGTTTGATTGGGACAGCAGTAGCTTAGGAGGTAGAGCGGGTTGTTCAATAATCAGAAGGTTGCAGGTTTGATCCTGGCTCCGACCAGGGAATGTTGCTGTTGTGTCCTTGGGCAAGACACTTAACCTTGCCTGCTGCTGGTGGTCTGAGGGACTGATGGTGCCAGTGTTTGACAGGCCTCCCTTCTGTCGTGCGCTCCAGTGCAATGGGTGAATGACTGATTGCGTTAAGCGCCTTGGGGGGTTGTAGAACCCAAGAAGGGGCTATACTGTACAAATACAGACCATTTAAAGTGTCCAGTTGTTCAAAACATCATTTGTAAAAACGCCAGATAAAAACAGAGAGGAAAAAACATTATAACAATCATGGTGCTATTTTCACATTCCATTCAAACTGGGACTTTTCTGCCATGTTTGTTTTTATTTGTTTGTTTTTAGGAGGGAACCTAAACCACTGGTCATTTATTCTATTTTATTTCTGTAAAACCAACATCAATGTTTTCTATGAAACATAATTGACATTGGCAAGTTTTCTGTAGCTTTATGTTTTTATTCAAAGCCATTAAGCTTTGAATTTCCAGTTTTATTGAGTTTCTGGAGGAACATTTTCTAACTCTCACAAATGTAAATGGTCAGTTTCATCTAGATGGGCAACATTTGACACACACGACCGAATGATGCTGAGAGACAAATATCCCCCACACAGTTTAACATTCTTTCAAGCTTGTTGTTATTTAAAAGTCTGATTATTTTTATTGTTTAGTGACTTTTTGTCCCTTTTACCATTTCAATCAGTTATTTTTTCCATTTATATTAAAAATGTTGCTTTGTCATTTGACTTCCACACCTTGCATTTTAGTTTTTAAACTTTGCTTTAAATTAAAAGGAAATTTAAGGGTAATGTTTGTTTTCTAAAATGGATTTAGATTTTCTTTCACATCTATGTTCTTTTACATTTTCTAACTCCCTTTGTTCAAATTTGTGCAGATTTTTTTTCTAAATTTGTAAATTAGAGATCTGTTTATACGTACATATATATATATATATATATATATATATATATATATATATATATGAATATGTATATGTGTATATACATATATATATATATATATATATATATATATATATATATATGTGTGTGTGTGTGTGTGTGTGTGTGTGTGTGTGTGTATGAAATTCACATTTAATTCTCAGAAATAATGTAACCAGACTGCGCTGTACTACCAAAGTAAAAGAAATCATAATCAAAAAAATCCCCATAAGTTCCTTTTGGTAGTTCATTTTTCTTTATTAAACTTTAATAATCAACTAAATCTATGTTGTGTTAACAAACCATGCCCAAACATTCCAACGGCTATACTGAAATTAACGTCAGGAAACAGTTTTTCTTTTAAATCCATGTGATGTTTAAGTGCTTATGTTGAGGAAATTTCAAAAACAAACATATCCAATATTTTCGTCTCCCTACTCTGATGTGTAGCCTCAATAGTGGAGCAGAAGTGGTGGTGCCAGATGCATCCGTGCCTTGACGGGGAGGAATGCAAAGTTCTTCCTGATCTGAAGGGCTGGAGCTGTGCGACAGGAAACAAGATCAAAACCACAAAGGTGAGACATTAATAAAAAAAACACATCTCTTTTATTGGCGCCGGAATCAAACCTGTTGAATCAGGTGTAAACACGCTTCAAGGTCAACAAGCTGTGAATTCTCCTCCTGTCGCCTCTGCCTTTAACTAAAAAGCTTTGTGTTTGCTGCCTGTGCTTGGACCCTTGGGGTCTGATAATCAATGGACTGCCATGTCTCCTTAGCACTTTCAGGCCATTCTGAGCACCCAAACTGGCCAATTACTCACTCCAGTTACTTGCTTTTAACTTTGTAACATGATGCCTGTATCCTTCACTGTGTTATGACTGCCCGTAGACTTCAGTTCTGCCTCTCTCCATGTACTTAATTATTTAAACCGCCTGCACCGCACCACACCTGCCTGGAGCCGGGAGCCTGGAGCCTCTGGCTATTGATTCAGCGACTGGTCGGGACCTCAGAATAGGATATATATATATATACATATCTATACAGACACAGACAAATCTGTTGGTCCCCTCACAGCTCACTGAAAAAATGCTTCATTTCTCCTGAAAAGGCATTCAGTGAAAAGCAATGTTCCAACGTACATGTGCACACCTTCGGTATGTGATGGTGAACAAATGAAACAGTGAAAAAAATGTGTTTGGTGCTAAACGTTTTGGGACAAATGTATTGATTCCTCTAAAGAACCTGTAGGAACCCTGCCCTTAGACCTTCTCCAAGTTGATCCATGATCATGAGAGCAAAGCTACCATCATTATTAAAAAGTCCCAGGGTTGTGGGACTGTAACCAAGCCCCCAGGATGTGAACGCGAGGGCCAAGGAAACCCAAGTTGATCAGATGTACAGACGCTGGAAAGACAGCCAAAGAAGCCATCCAGGTTTGTGATGCATGTTGAACCTTAGGCCTGGAATGTACTTGCTTTTTAACAAGTGTTTAAAATGGCTGCCTCGCTTACCTTGCGTTGATTTGAATAACTTGTGCGTGTCACTTGAAATTCATGTGATGATTCAAACACTGCAATATACAAGTAACCAGTAGGCGCAGTTAACAAAACGAGTGAGACACACTCACCACGGTCACTTTGTCTATGGTTTAGAGGTCTTTCACACCATCTACGACACCCCTGCTGTCTTTTTTTCTGCCATGATCTCAACATTAACCAGTTACTGATCTCTTCTGTTGACGCCATGTTTGACTTAGTTGTATCCACAAACCTGGCCTTCATCTGGTCTGATTACTCTACTGTGCCCCCTAGTGGAATCCCGCAGTACCTCAAGCAGTGGTGTGCTGTTGTCGGTACAGGATCTGCTCGGGTGCAAAATCGGCTCGGGGTCCTTCGACTGCCGATGATGTCAAAGTACGGCAAACTCACTCAGACAAAATACACTACACATCTATACTGTTGGAAAGAATTTAGCAGTTTCGTTATTAAAATAATGTTTCTTAAGATGTAAGTTTGTGTTTATAATGGTATTTGTAAAATAAAACACTATATTTTATTCATAATGTTGAACTCCTCTTTGAGCACATCCCTTGAAGGATCATAGGTATTAGCAACACATGTGAAATTGAATTTGCAGGAAAGAAGTGTGTCCCGTTTATTGAAGTATTTTGTGTTTAGAGCTTTTGACGTCTTGTTCATGCGTAGTTCAGTTACGCTCATAGCTGCTAGCCAAAACTGTGGAGTGACAAGTTTTCTGGCTTTACTAAGATACCTGTCTGTACTTATTTGATTGATGGTAGTTTTACTTTCTATTAGACTCCAAATGTAATCATTTGGCACGTTTCTAATTCATAATTTGTAATAATGTAATCAGCGATATTAGCTTTAGCATTCCTATGGGTTTTTCCATGTATATTAGCATTGCGCTAACCACTCGCTGCCAAATTGCAGCCTTTGCGATTAGAAAATCTCCTTTTGTCACATCGCAATTTAATTGCGCATGCAGTTAATCGTTCAGCCCTAATATATATGCAGCTCTATGTTAAAAGTGTATTTTCAAAGAGGTAATGATGGATTTCTTTGTAAAAGTTGTCCATCTTTCCAACAGAAAGATTTGCCTGGACCAACGTAACGTGATATCAACGTAACGTGATATCAACGTAACGTGATAACAACGTAACGTGATTACGTAATTCCGTAAGGTTCATGTTCAGCCAATCAACTACTTAGACGTCATCGGCAGTCGACGGACCCCGAGCCAATTTTGCACCCAAACAGATCTTGTACCGACACCGTGCAGCAGGTATGTGAACAAAGACACTGCCTGCTGCCTGTGCTAACACGAGGTTATAGAGCAAGTATATTTCTGCCTTTAGAGGGCTCACCAAAAAGACAGACTGAAATTGACCAACGTCCATGTTGACAAACCACAAAGCTTCTTTTGACTGGCCAGTAAACTTGATCTTTTTGGAAAATCACATCAGTTCCATGTTGAAATGAAGCTTTCTTAGAAAAGAGCAACGACCACATGAAGCATGGACGAGGCCGGGTTTGGTTTTTAGGGTGATTTGTTGCATCTGAACTGAAGAACCTGCACAACAACTTCCCAAGACTACCAACATTTCCTGGAGCCAAACATACTGTACTGCCTAGGGTCTCATCCTCAGTTGTGGCTCATCTTCGAACAGGACCATGAGCCAAACATTCAGCTAGGTCACTGCAGACTACCTTTTTTAGGATGTGTGTAAAGAGGGTACCAACAGATTTGTTCATTACATTTAAATAGTTTTCCTTTAGTTCTGATCCAAATTGGGCTGAAAACGTTTTCATGTTGCTGTTGATGAGATTTTGTAAAACAGAAAACTAAATGTCTTTTCTTCTGTTTTTGTTCATATTTAAAGATTTCTGCAGACAGAGACCAGCTTTGGTAACTCCACGACAAACCCCAGGTGATTATTCTGATCCTATCATAACAGCTATCATTTCAATATTTCTGTTGTTGTACTAGCCTACGTGTATAAGATACAAAGACATTTCAACCATAAATCTTTAATGTAGCTTCTAATTAGCTCATTGTCAGATTAAGCACAATTCCCTGTAGTGTTACACCAGAGAAAAAAAGATGGGAGTGAGAGGAGGAACAGAATACAAACACGGAACAACAACCTGTTCAAAGCAGCATCATTACCCAGCTGATCTAACTCACACACCTTTGAACTCAGCCGGAGACACAACTTTCTTCAGTTTCTAATCTTTCTGCAGGCAGCTTGGAGCAGCAGGAGCTCACGCTTTTCTTCCTCACCTCTGCTGAGCTTTTAGAAAAACAGCCTACATAATGCTGGAACCTCCAGCTATACTCACCTCCGTGGCTCAGTCACACACACCGAGAATTGAAAATGTAAAGCTAAGCTGTGACTGGCTATTAGAAAGCCCAGGGGCACAGTCAAAGGGATGAACAGAACTCGTGCAAAGAATTTAGTAAATTCGACGGCTGAAATGGAAACAAGACGACTAAACTGTTTCTTTTATATGGATAAATACTGGAATCCTCAAAGAGGACATCAGGAGCCCGCTGTGTTCTGCTTTATACGAGAGGGACAACAGAATAAAAACTCTAATGCCTGCTAGCGCTGTGTTGTGTGTTCAGAACACAGCTTTTCATTATGCTGTTTGCACTTGTATCATCATTTTACATCCTCCAGTCCTGGCTCATCCTTCAGCTGTAGAGTGAAACAGATAAGAGTCTTTGGCAGTTTGAGGAGAATCAGGTTTCAAGACGAGCTTTATGTCTTAGAATTTAGCTAGTGAGGATTTTAACAATCATTGATGACTCGATTACAAAACACACTGCTCAAAAAAATAAATACTTGAAGGGAACGCTTAAACCAAGCAATGCAACTCCAAGTCACTCGCACTTGTGTGAAATCAAACTGGTCATGTAGGAAAGAACACTGGTTAACAATTAATTTAATCTACCGGTGTGCAAAAGGAATAGACAAGAGGTGGAAAGCATGCACAGGCGTTGTAGGGAGGTCACACACACTACCGAGCCTCATTCTGACTTGTTTTAAGGATGTTGCACCAAAGTTGGATCAGCTTGCAGTTTTTCACTTTCATCTTGAGAGTCACTCCAAATCCAGACCTCCATGGATTGATACATTTGATTTCCATTGATAATTTCTGTGTGATTATGTTGTTGGCGCATTCAACCATGTAAAGGTCAAAGAATTAAATAAAAATTTTCATTCAGATCTAGGATGTCTTATTTTTGTGTTCCCTTTATTTTTTTTAGTAGTGTATTACTAAGTATGTTTGCATTGTGCGCATGTTATTTTCTTCATCAACGCAACTCTGAATGAATGAATGAATGAATGAACGAACGAATGCATGAAAAAACGAATGAATGAACGAATGAACGAAAGTAAGCCCAGCTGTAATATGTTCATAGTAGGTACCACACCACGAGTTTATGACATTCAGGACTAATGCCCATACATTCATAGCATCTTCTGCATTATGTTATGTATTTATTTTTTTTATATTATGAAACAATAACAGTTGTAAAAATATAAAATCATTTCATGTAATGTGAATTTTGGAAATTGTAGCTGTTCTCATAAAATAAACTTAAAAACAAAGATAGTCCAAGAGCTCTTTCTTCCACATTTTGCATTTCTGGTCTGAGCATAAAATTGAAGTACACAAAAAACAAAACCACCAGTCTCTTTTTCATCTTTGGATCTTTGACTGTCAGTTAGAAATTAAAAGAACACATAAAACACTGATTATTATTATTATTATTATTATTATTATTATTATGATGACGATGCCTGCAGCAACTGTAGAGAGAAAATCTACAGCGAAACAGAAGCGAGGGGCTTCTGGAGAAATTTCAGAACCTCTAAAAGTGTTTGGGAAGACTTTTGCTTCTGTTCTCGATTCGTCACCTTTTTTGGAAAAATTCATGAATAAAAAATGTATTTATTTATTGAATTTAATTAAGGATATGAATGTTTTTATTGATGGTTTGATTTATTTCTCCATCAGAAGTTAAAATATTTAAACACTGGTGAACTAACTGGAAAAGGACCCATGTCGTTTTCACAGCAAGAATCTAACGTCGCTTACACGTTAGCGTCGGCACACCTGGGGTTTGGTGGGGCTTGACGGCGTAAGTTCGGTCTTGAGCGGGCGGTGTAGTGTTCACATATAAATCTGATGGACTTCTCAGGAATGTGGAAATCCTATGGGCGATGTTTAATACACGCGGGAAAGTCCGCGGTGTCCTCCATTATAGGGAGCCTAAGTCACGCCCACCCACTTCCGGACCATGGGTCCCCCGAAGAACAAAAAAATTAATGCAAGTCAATGGGGGCTAAAAATGCTATTTACTAATTCCGCATGTTTTGTACCATGGATATGATGTCCGTGAATTCTAAAGACACATTTTGATACCAAGAACTCGCTTATTTTCGAACGGGGGAGCAATATTTTAGGTTTTGTGTAAAAACAAGTCCAAGACTACAAATGCGCTTCACGAAAGTGACGTAATCGACCCAGACACCCAGTCTCCCTGGGGTCCCTGCGCTCTGGGGCAGCTCCTGGATCTCTGAGACTTGGAGCTCCTTCCATCTCCTACGCATCTTTAGGGGGCAGATCTGTGGCCCCTCACACTCTATTGGACGCTCCTATAGAGAAACCTTACATATACAAGCGAGGGTACGCACACAGGTGCTCACATGGTGCTCTCGTAAGTATGGACTTGGGCACGTTCAACACATATCTTAAGGCTGTGGTTGGCACTAAATGCACTGTGATTTATTATCATGATTGTTCAGTAAAACAATGTTGATTTTATATTTCCTCATCAGGTTGACGCAGTGATAGCTTGCTCCTGTTGTATTGTTGTGTGTTCCTTTTCTATTTTTTTCTCCTCCTGCAGGTCTAGAGGCAGACTCTTGTTCATCATTCATTGTTTATTTTTGTGGAACCCCCCCCCCCCCCCCCCCCCCCTCCTCCTCCTTTTGTCTCTTCCTTTCTCTTTCACCTCTGTCTCCGTGTTTGGTCAGAATTACAAGCGTTAAAAAAAACAATAACATTACATTTTTAAGTATGAGGCATGACATTGAAAGCAGAAGCTTTGATGCTCCACCTGAGAGTAAATCTGTAAGGCTTGTCACCAGCATTCAGACATCAATTCTGTTTTCTTCACAGCCGGACAGGACACAAAAAAAAGACAAACTTTTACAAAGATGTCAAAACACCCATCATTGCTTTTCATTTAAATTGCAGTACAACATATGTGCGATCCAGGGCGTAAGGCAAAGCGGATTAAAAAATAGCTTTTTTAGCCCCGTTGACTTGTATTCATTTTTTCGTTCTTCCCATGACCCATGAGCCGACCGGAAAGGGAGCAGACTTAGCCTCCCTATAAGGTAAACAAAGGCAGACATGAGCTGTGTTACTTTTAGAGACTCTGAACCACATAATTTTATTAATTTGTAGTGTGTGTCCTCATAGTCTTGTGCCACACACACTGCATTTACCCCTGAGCAGCGGTCTGCTCGCTGGGCCAAGAGCTCCGATGAAGAGGACAGGCAGGCGCACACACACACACACACACACACACACACACACACACACACACACACACACACACACACACACACACACACACACAGAGAGAGAGAGCGAGAGAGAGAGAGAGCTCACTCTCTTTTCCCGTTCCCACTTGGCTGCAGCTCTGTGCTACAGACAGAAGTTTACTCAACAGCATCCAGCATGAAAATGAATCGTGCATGCGGGAACCCCCGCTGGCTCATTCTTCTCGTATATCAGAGGCGGTAGGCATTATTTCAGCCGGCCAATCAGTCTATAGTGACGCCAGCAGTCCCAGTCTGACTGCTGGGGAGAAGGTCTGAAAAAAAGAGTCGCCTCGGAACCGAAAACACAAAACTGACCTGTGCGTGAAACCAAATTCTGGTACCGGAAGGGACCGAACCGACGCTAAGCTCCATAAGTACCCTAAAAGTCTCCTTCTGAGCTTAGTCTCCTATCACACTGTCACTGAATTTTGTTTTAATTTTTGCCTTTATTCATTTTTATTATACTAAACAAAGAAAATCATACTATTAAAATGGAGATCATTTATAAATCCAACACAAATGTAAAAATCACCACAAACTTTTTTCCAGTTACTAAAGCAGTGATTCACTCAGGCTGAAACTGCTTTGTACAAGTGAAACAGCCTTTTTTTTTATCAGCGGACAGGTTTCTGTTTCAACTTGGCATCAAGGTAGTAAATGTTGATAGCTCGCCGTTATGGCCGTGCAATAATGACACCATCTGTGTGTAGATTTGTTCCCTATACATTATGCTTTCATATTTTATTATGTGTGCAGCCTGTGAGATGTCCCCCAGGAAAATTAGGGCTTGATTAAATGTATACTTGCTGAAATGGCAGATGGTCAAACAACCAGAGCAAATGGGGGAAAACATCCATCCGTTTTCTATACCTGCTTTTTCCATCCGGTGTTGTGGGAGTCGGTGCCAGGGACAGGCTGTGTCTCCAACAGGTGCATCACAGGGGCATACAGACAACTGGAGGCAAATTTTTGGATCACCAACAACATCCACAATTTTTTACTTTGTGAGAGAAAAACTGAAGCCTCTCTCCACACACACACACACACACACACACACACACACACACACACACACACACACACACGCACACACACACACACACACACACACACACACACACACACACACACACACACACACACACAGACACACACACACACACAGACACACACACACACACAGACACACACACACACACACACACACAAACACGCACACACACACACACACACACAGACACACACACACACACACACACACACACACTCACACACACACACATGCACGCGTGCAAGAAAAACCTTCAAGCTTCACATTAAACGGTGCCCATAATCTTGCTCTGAGGCAACGGTGCTAACCAACTGTGCAACCATGAAGCAAGTTGTAAAAACCTTATATAGCAAAAGAAAAACAAACAGAAAAACTATCTAAAAGTGGAAGTGAAGATAGAGTGGGAGGACTTTCAGTCCTTAGATGAAGTCACGTTTGCATGAAGCACAAGTCTACTATGTCTTTAGGAAACCCGTGTTTTCTCATTCTAACTTAACAGTAAAAACACAGATAAGTTGGGTGTTTTGGAAAATTGAAGCCAGATGCTTTCATAAGTGTGGATTAAAATATTCCAGCACAATACTGACATGATTTGCTGCTGCAGGGAATAACAGGACAAAAACTATATATATATATATATATATATATATATATATATATATATATATATATATATATATATATATGTATATATAAATTCAGCATTTATTTGACTGTCATAGGACTAATATCATCTAATGCTGATATTTCACAGTATCCGCCATTCGTTATGTTTTATTTTTGAGAATGATCAGTGGCTGAGTCTTTCATGCAGGCTGATCATGAAATTGCCATTTACCCCTATATCCTGCATTAGTTTCTGATAGAAAATAGATAAAATGCTGATTTCTGACAGATCTACCTCACACTGTCACTTAAGGTTCATGGACTCACCTATCTTGACTTGTGACGCAGAAGGCTGTTGTTTGGCATCCAGGAAACAGTTGGTGTGTTTATGTTGAAACCATACACAACAGTTAGAAACAGACTAGTACGCCCAAAAGACAAGATATCAGCTGGACTTAAATGTGGTGTCGTTTACGAAATCCCATGCAAACTCTGCAATAAAACATACATAGGAGAAACCGGACGCCAACTCAACACACGAACAATAGAACACAGAAAGGAGTGCGAGAAAGAGGCAAGTCGAAAACACACAAGAGCAGCAAAAGAAGAAGCAGAAAGCACAATAAAGAAGTCAGCCGTAACAGATCACTGCACAAGAGAAAACCATATAATGGACTGGGACAACACAAGGATCATAAACACCGAACAACAGAAATACAAAAGATGGATAAAATAAGCTATCGAGATTAGGAGACGTGGATGCGGGACCATGAACAGAGACGATGGAGTTTACTCGTTGGACCGTGCATGGGACTGCATCATCGGAGAGGGGAGAGCGGGTAGCAGAGGGCAACAATGTCCTCTGCTGCCCGCGGATGAACGGAGAAGGAAGTGACGCCACCATCAGAGTCAGCCTGACGAAGTTTGCAGCCGCAAACAAAACGATGCAGGTAAATAAAACCTTTCCGTGTTTTTAAAAGAACTAAAAGATGGAACCCTTTGCATCGTTACCCACCTGCCTGCTGAGTTCTGCATCCGAGTCTTCCGCCACACATGCGGGTTTTAAACAAAGGTTTTTTTCCTCCTGCCAAATAAAAATAATCTCTTCAGAACTCATCATACGTTCTTTGAATTTAGCACGTTCATGTGCTGTCAGAGAAGAAATCCCTCCAGTCCTTCTCACCCTTACCCTGTTGGAGAAACCATTGCTCATGAACTTCAATTTTGACAATTTCGTCTCCATTTTCTCTTCTCTGATTTTAAAAATTTCATTATTCAAATTCACTCCCCAAAGTCTTCTGGTTAAACCTTTACCATGATGAAAAGCCTTGTCACGGTGG